AAAAAAAAAAAAAAAAAAAAAAATATATATATATATAATAAAAAAAAAAAAATAAAAATATATATATATATATATTTATTTTACGAGAGTAAATCATTTACATATGCTGTTTGTCTGTTACCCAGCTCTCGTCTGAACACAACAGAATCTACTGCAGCCGAAGATACCTCTGAACTACACATACGTACATATAAATATACACATTTTCGGATAATCCTGCAATGTACAACAATTGAAAATAGAACTATAACAGTTATGGATACAAATGACTTTGCTTATGAACATTACGGTATATTAGTTCAAAATGATGATGATGAATTGCCCAAATCCCTAAATGTTCAAAACCTAAGTAATGGTAAATGTAATATATATATTTTATAAATAATATATACTGAATATAGTATTTTATTTGTATATTTTTGCTTATTTAATATTAATTATTGGTATCGAATTTATTTTAGTTTATCTTAACATATATGGTTATCCAAGAATATAATAACCAATAATACAACGGAGGGAAACATGTAACCATATTGTTACTTATATAAAGATCTATAGAGCTTTCCACTACTCTTCCTATAGTTTTAGGCTCAGAAGACATTGGACATAGTAGCGAATTGGTGCTTCCTTCACAGCATGATTCCTTTCGTCAAACGGATTTGCGAATTAATAGTTTGCACTTTGATGGAAAATCATTAAAGCCACCAACGAAGATGTGAGTAAAGCTTTGAGAGGATCGCTGTCCGTTTTCTGATTTTATAACATGTATTTTAAAAACTTTTTGGACAGGGAGGGGCACTCAAATATGGCGTTGGAAAGCACAAAACATTTGGAGGAAAGTGTTTCACAAGATTTGGTTAATTGTATGCAACAATTAAGGCAAGATCGATCAAATGCTGAAGCAGAACAAGTAATGGATAGGAAGAATATGGCACTGATGTCGGGAAATGGCAAGTCCCGGCGGTGGGAACAGAAGCTAGTTCAAATTAAGACAATGGAGGGCGAATTTAGTGTTACAATGTGGGCATCGGGTACATCGGACGATGAGTATTCCAGTTCGGATCAAAATGCCGATGAAGTTGACTATTTCAATGGCAATGAAAGTTCGCTAGATCCCGAACAGATAAAAAAGCATGAAACAGTATTACAGCAACAACAACAACAACAGGAGCAATTATTTTTTCAGCAGCAGCAAGAACAATTTCTACACCTACAGCCTCAATTAATTCTCTCGATGAATGGGGCAACAGCGGTAGCAGCAACCGCAGAAGCAGCAGCAGATAAATGTAATCTTAGTTCAAAAAGAAATGTATGTTGCGAAACACAAATATCATCGTATGTAGCCATATCGCAGGGATGTCGCCTAATCAATGACGAAACTTTGCTGGTTGATAACAATCAATCAATAGAATCAAAAATTGATTGTAATGTAAATAACGATGTCACTACTGATCCAGCATCAGTAACTTTAGGTATAACTGAGTCGGATGATGATAAATTCATTTAACTTTAATATTTTAAATTTATATTATTTATTAAGCACCAGCACCGGCAACAGCAGCCCTAGGGACAGAAGCGGCACCACCAATAGCAACAGAATCTGCTGAGTCAGCGGATACCACCGACTTTGCACAATTTGGCAATGACAAAAAGATTGCCTGCCCTCATAAAGGCTGTCATAAATACTTTCGTGATTCGTCTGCAATGCGTAAGCATTTGCATACCCACGGACCTCGCGTTCACGTCTGTGCAGAATGTGGCAAGGCATTTGTTGAGAGCTCAAAACTGAAGAGGCATCAATTAGTGCACACTGGCGAAAAACCATTTCAATGCACTTTCGAGGGTTGCGGCAAACGTTTTTCATTAGATTTTAATTTAAGGTAGAACCGCTTATCCACCTACCTCGGTATATACATTATATGTTAAAGCACTTTTTTTATTACCAGAACGCATGTGAGAATTCATACTGGAGATAGACCCTTTGTGTGTCCGTTCGACGCGTGCAATAAAAAGTTCGCTCAGTCCACAAATTTAAAGTCTCACATCTTAACTCATGCAAAAGCCAAGTAAGTAATGTTTTAATAAACACGATTGAATATATATGTTTAATTCATGTCATTTCAGGCGAAATACAGCCAATCCGCGCCATAACGTTTGCCCCAGCAACGAACCTCTTAGCCCCAGCGGGGGAAGCTCTACAAACTTGATAAAAGTAGAATCGCGTGATACAACTATGTCAGAAACCCATGCACCATTTGTAATGTATGCCGACTAAAATATTAGTGTGTATATTTTAAGCAGAGCACTCAAAATTATATTCGTAAGGTTTTATATATTATATACTGCAGACATATATTAAAGCATAACAAGAACATAGTATGTAAATATGTAGCTACGAACCTAAGTTATTTGATAAGAAACATTTATTTTTTCATGAAAAGTGTCATTAAATGGAACGAAAATTAAATGCTATATTTAGGTGGCAAAACAGATCGAGTAATAAATGAAATAATGGCAAACTAATTAAAAATGTACTATAATATTGATCGGAAGATAATCTGAAAATTATCCAGAAGAAATATTTCAACTTTTCATGCTGTCCACGGTAAGTATATATTTATTATTTTATTTATTTTTTGCTAGTGCAATAAGATCCGTATGAAACAAATTTGATTTCAGCTTGCTTTATCTATTTCTTCTGCCGTCGCTTTCGGATTTTCCCTTAGGCTAAAATCTGGTCTTAATTGAAAATTTTTCTGATGATACGACGACTGTAACTCATTGATTGACAATGGCGCATTTCGGCGTAACTTGAATTCTATAAAATATTTATATATTAATTATATATTTATGTAGTTATCTTACTTTGCTATTCTTATTTTGTTTTTATACTCACGATGAACGTATGTCTGTGTGCTTTTGATTCTTTCCAGCCAGTGATCATTGGTTTTACGATTTGGCCGAAAGTAGTTTTTCACTATGTTCACTTTATATGTTTCAGGCGATTCCTCGTTGGTAACCTATATTTATAAATAAATAAATGTATATGTATATAAATATATACTTACTGTACTGTCTTCAAATTCCGTAGAGTATCGTCTATAGTGATCATCTAAATTGGAACTCAAGTTTTTGTTGTCAGGTACGTTTCGCTTGTGAAATGGAGATCTAAGATTGGCTGGTGGTAATTTTAGATTATTCTCAATATCATTGGGTAGTTTCCAGGTTTTGTGATCATCATTCCAATGCGAATTTTCCAATATATATTCCGCATTCCTGAACATAATAAGAAAACAATTGAGAAAGCTCTAGTCGAGACTACTCAATTACGAGATACTCTGAACCCATCGAGGAACTAATATTTCAATAATTCTATGCTCCTTTTCTTCATACAAAAGAAACACGCTCACCCACACAGACACATGCTTACATAAACAGTAATTATTGACTTTTGGAAACATGATCGAGCTTGTTGCGCTTGCGATGTACGGATCTAAAAAAAAATATTATTAGCTTTTATAGCTATAGAGACCAAGATAGACCTACAGTATCTGATCAAGAATATATATGTATTATAGAGCAAATACATTTAACAAATATATTTTAACAAAGCCATTTTTTCCTGATTTTAAATTTTCAATGGGTTCAGGGTAGGAGAAAAGAGTGCAGTTTAGTAAAACAGGAAAACGCGATTTTTTGTTACCAGTTTCGCCCGGTTTTTCTTAGAATCGGCTGGGCTTTGCAAAAGAGCAGTTGGTAGAACTTTACGTGCCGACCTAGTTGACGAATCTCGTCTAAGTAATCCTCACGATCCATTTGAAATTCTGAGTTTAGATCAGCGACTTCACGTTCGAGCATCTTGATCTTCTGCGCATACTTCTTGATGCGCTCGTTTTTCATATTGATTTCCTGCTGAATGCTGGCATAGTGACCTTGAAGCAGATCCCGATCCTCACTCTCCACACGACTTAAAGCATGGGCAATGGCACTTAAATGTCTTTTTGCCTCCAATTTACGCATTCGGTGACGCTCTTGAAGTTGCAGGTCGTCAACTCTTTCGCCGCCTATCAGAGCCTGTTTGATGAGATCAATCCGTTTGCGTGCATGCAACTGAAAGTCTTCGTTGATGGCTTCGTTTGATTGATCACTTTTTACAACTGCTGGGATATCCTTCATTTCTTCGATCATCTGCTGTCTCATCTTTACTTTAGCCTCTTCCAGCCACAGCTCCTTATTCTTGTTGTTGTCCTCAACAAACTTATGCAGTATAACACTTTCATGTTGCTGGCTCTCGTCGAGCATGCGCTTCAAATTGAGGATCTCCTCTTGATACTTCCTCAATTGAGCATCCTTAGGATCCTCATTGATTCGAGGCGCATTCGATATATTCTTTGCTCGACAGGCATACCGCAGCGTAGACAACGTCTCGTCGTAGTTGTTTCCAGCAGGTGAAATGCATGCAATCATCAAAGTCTTTGTATTGCCACCTAAGGAGTCCTGAAATAAAGTCGATTACACTATTTAACAAAATTTGCATTTTCTACCGATTTTCTATGAGCTCAAAAATGCAAAAGACTGTTCTAATGCTGAAAGAATTTTCAATTTGTCATATTCGCGACCCACAGCGTAGCGAGCCTAATACTTTGATGTGACAAATCTGTCTAATCTACGATAATGCTTCATAATTCTGTAGGATGGTGGAAAAATAGTTTAGTAAAAATTACTTTACACAAGGTTCACACCGTGTTTTCAGTTTCTGTTATACTCATATACACATGTTCCAAATATCTGTAAAATATTTATAAGGCTGTTATACACAGTTTACACACACCTGCAATAAACGAGTCAGCTTGGAGTCTCTGTATGGTACATGCTTTGTTTTACCGTCAACTAGAGCTGATATCACATTTCCCAATGCGGATAGTGATAAATTGATCTTTGTTGCCTCCTTCAATCGCTCGCCAAATGCTCCTGTCTTACATTGCCTTTCAGAACCGGCTAAGTCGACCAGATTCAGTTTGCCCCTACGTATTCCTCCGATAACTGGTGTCCCTGGCAGGTCACCCACTGTCGATGTTTCTTGAATTTGCTCCAAACTTATTGAGAATATGGTATGAGATCGAGAGCTCTTCTCGTTCATTAATGTTGCGGCTGTTATTCGATTTTTGTTGCCGACATTTAGCCAGTTATAACAATCGGTTGGATTCATCACAGCTTGACTGGTCAACGTTGGTACCGTTACACCCACACCTGGTATATCCTTCAGCGCATGATTCCTTACCCCAATCGATTCATTCGCACTTAATAGATCTCTTATATTCTCATTATAAATCTCCAAATAGCTCACTAAAGCCAAATACCTAACACTCGTTGCTATTGAGATTGTTTCAAATATATGATCAAAGCATCTCTGTATGATGCCGTTGTTATCGACGGCTCCAGAATATCCTTCGCCCTGATAAATTACAAAAGCGTTGAAAAGTAAGATAAGGAGTGCGGGAGCGCAACATGTTCTTTAAAGACTAAAGTTACCTGCATAGTGTGTGTTTTGCCACATCCTGTTTGGCCATACGCAAATATGGTTCCATTGTAGCCCTCCAAAGTGCTCTCCACCAAGGAGTAGCACATATCGTTGTAGATCGTGTCCGTCTTTGAGAGACCATCATACACGCTGTCGAACTGAAATATTTTCTTCGGTGCACTGCGAACCAAGGGATTTATTACTGAAACAGTGTAGTCCCCAGTCTCTAAAATAGTCTTTACAAATTGAAAAATGTATCAATTTTGCGAGTAGCTCGTCTCCTTTATAGACATGATATATCTATACCTTATATAGTAAGTGCATTGGAGTGAGTTATCGTTTTTTAGCAATAAACTTGATATGCGCGCGATATATACAAACATTTAAAAAAATTTGAAGTCTTGCTCTTATACCTTCTAAGATCGCCTGTTACCACTGACCAGATAGTGATAAGACTATCATTACGGAAATAATGAGAAGTAGCTCCTAAATAACTGCTAAGAGTCATCATCTCGCCCCAAACATCACAATTTTAAATAGTATAAAAATCATCCAATTCAGCTTTTAGAGTATCAACGTTTTTCTTTACTAAATGCTACTTTAGAGATACTTGAAAATACTCGAAATATCGATTTTTCATCTCCCTAGTCGTGGCTAAGCGGATCTGAAGATATAGTGATTTTTCAAATTCTACTATATATTAGATAATTTTGTATGTATACTCGTTTACAAGCTTATAGCACTAACTGGTTAGTGCTTATAGTTTTGCGAATACTCATTCAACTTCGTCGTTATCGAGAATAATCGATAAATTGATTTCGTTTCTCTAGCATTGCTTGAATACTATCACCATTTGGTTAGTGATACTATTAAGCCTGGATAATAAATTTGAACTTTTTGATCTCGTTCTGAAAGTTTCATGAATATAGTCCTACTACAAAAGAAATTATTCAACAAGTAAATTCTCATAATATGGCCCACACTGCATCCTAAGCGCAGTCGCTTCTTTCTACAGAGCGCGTGCTTATATGTTCGTGCAAATGCATGTGTGCATATAATAAGTGCAGAATGATTAGATTAGCTTGGAGGATACCCCGATCTTCTAGTCGAGCACTCTTTCTTGATTTATTATACCCTGAGCTAAAGCTGTGAATCCATCGATGGCACCACTCGATGGATTTTTCAGCGATTGAAAAAAAAACCATCGATGGTTCTGTCTTTATCCATCGATGGAGAACACCATCAATATTATCGATGTTTCCATCGGTAATTTAAAAGGCTTTGCTTAAAACTAGTTTAAAGTTTTAAACATGTTTTAAAAATTAAAAATTCAAAGTTCTTAATACTTTTAAAGTAAATTTATCAAATAAAAGAAAGATTTTCGTGCAAACAAAAATAAGTGAAGACAAGATATAACTTCAACATGATATCTATATCTATGAGAATCACTTGGGCTTAAAAGAAAATAACTTCATTTCGATTTCTTAACCTAGTGAATACTGACAAAAATAAGTCTATTGATTAATAAGCCATTGGTTTTTGTTCTTAAAAACCAAGGTGTTGAACATTGTTGACTCTAAACTAGCCCTGTCCGTCTGTCCGTATGAACGCCGAGGTCTCAGAAGATATAAGAGATATAAAGCTGAATGCATACTCGTGTATACTATACACAGTACAAGTTTATGATATTTTTTTAGATAACTTATTCGATATCTTTTTTACTATTAGAGCTGGAGACTTCAAATTCATTATGTATATATGTATATTTAATGGATACGAAGATTTTGTAATTTATAGATTTTGAAGTAAATTTATCAAATAAAAGAAAGATTTTCGTGCAAACAAAAATAAGTGAAGACAAGATATAACTTCAACATGATATCTATATCTATGAGAATCACTTGGGCTTAAAAGAAAATAACTTCATTTCGATTTCTTAACCTAGTGAATACTGACAAAAATAAGTCTATTGATTAATAAGCCATTGGTTTTTGTTCTTAAAAACCAAGGTGTTGAACATTGTTGACTCTAAACTAGCCCTGTCCGTCTGTCCGTATGAACGCCGAGGTCTCAGAAGATATAAGAGATATAAAGCTGAATGCATACTCGTGTATACTATACACAGTACAAGTTTATGATATTTTTTTAGATAACTTATTCGATATCTTTTTTACTATTAGAGCTGGAGACTTCAAATTCATTATGTATATATGTATATTTAATGGATACGAAGATTTTGTAATTTATAGATTTTGAATACCACGTCATCTTTCCAGTACTAGAGATTTCTGCTTCAGAATTAACACACATTTTAACGTTATGAAAGTTTCATCAAGGTTGTCCGTCTACAAAAGAAATTATTCAACAAATAAATTCTCATAATATTGCCCACGCTGCAGCGCACCCCAAGCGCAGTCGCTGCTTACTGCGCAGCTAGCAGAATGCCTGCGTATTAGAGACTTGTGCTTTGGCAAATGTATTCATATTCATGCTTTAATCAGAATCTGAAAGTTTCATGAAGATAGTAAGTACATCGACAAGAAAAGATATTAGACAATTAAGTTCCCACACTTCAGCCAATGCGTGTTTATGCGTGCGTGCATATGCTTTTTATGTGCGTGTGAGTGTGCGAATTGTTTATCTAATATCAGTTGCTCGAAGGCTTCAGGGGATCTCGTAGTCGAGCAGAGTCGACTAGAGCTTTTTTACTTGTTTTAATAATAGACTTCTAACCTGTACAAATTATTAATGATTATTGCTCACGATATTTGGTTTACAATATTGAAGTTCTAATCACTTTTTTCCGTTTTTGTTCCTCTTTAGCTAACCCCTATTCTGGAGCTCAATCGAAGTTAGTCGTACAGACAATTGCCTCTCAGACAATGCACTACTGCTGTAAATTGCTGTAAATCGATATATGTAATATATGTATATAATGTATACATATCTATATAGTATGTAGTTATAGTTTTCATTCTTTTATTTAAGCTTTTCAATTTTCTAAATAATATACCCAGAATTAAATAATTACAAAAGAAATATGTAGTTAAACACTAAAATATAATAAAAATTTGTAGTCAACGTACATCACATTTGCTGTCGATTTCCTTTTGATTCATTGGCCGACAGCGAACAATCACCTTTACATTTTCACCCATTACTCTCTATTACTATTTTTTTTTTTTTTTTAATTACTTTATTACTCTATTTTAGTTTATTACCGCTAATATGGAGTGGACGGTCGAGACTAACTGGCTATTGTTAGCAATACTTTGAACTTGAACCAATATTTTGATGTCTCTACACAAAGTGACAAAAGAGTATATTCGCTCGTTCTTCTGATGTCGTAGAGTTATGTATTTGTATTTGAAAAGGTTTGTTCCTCTAAGTGTAGAACATGCATCGATTTTAATCGCTTTTTCGATAAGAACCACAAAGTCAACTTTTTGTTTGGACGAGTAGCAGCTAAAGAGCGCATGCTCTGTGCAAATGGATGTAAAAGTTCAGAGCCATGTGAAAACTTGATAAATATATAATAATTGTGGCAGTAGTGGGTTCACATATGGAGCTCTCGTAGCTCTAACTATATATGAACATATATACAATAAAAGTATACTCGCGTATATAAGCATATACTTTATTGATTCCGTTTATGGAATACAGTGCATTTCCTTTAAATAATTTGAATAAGGTCGAATCGCATTCGTACAGAACTTAAGCTTGGTCAAGGTCTATCTAGTTGCAAATCTGAAATCGAAATCAGAGGGCATACTAAACAATATGCAACATGTATTATAGTACGTGCGTATACAATTTCAACGATTGTTTTTCTCGCTGGAAACGATTGCGGTCATTGAAACGTGGCGCACCTGTGTCAAAGGAGGCAATGCGATTGAAACCCTCCCTTGGACTATATACCATCGTGCACTTGGCTTTGTTGTCGATGGTTCTGGTAGCAAATGCCTTGCCACCAGTAATACGAGTCGGTAGGTTCACTTTTTTTTAAAATGGTATTATCATTTTGGAATTGGTTACTAAAATTATGAATTTACTGCCGAATTGAAATTTAATAATAAGCTAATATTGTGTTAACATTTCTTTTATACTCTGAACCCATTGAAAATGGGAAATCAGGCAGAAGGAGGCGTGGCAGACCCCACAAAGTATATATAT